TGACTTTTCCCCGTTATCATTTCTTGGTTCTAGCCCTAACTTTCTACTCTAGAACTTTATGATTTCTCATCCCTTCATTGTTTATTTTATGCCTTTTTCTTTCCAGTCTCTTTGGTGGGAAGGATAAATTCATGACTGGGGAACTATAAATGTAGATATTCTCCATATTGAGCAGAAATATAGATAACACAATATTTGCATTGTAACACTTTTTCATTTTTAAGTAGTCCCCCTTCCCCTGCAAAGAGGCCAGGAGTCTTGCTGTTTTATCGTTTTTATGCTTACAATATTTTGAGCTGTACACCATCATGCCACTTACAATCCTGACTGAGATGATTTTGGGAACCATAGACACTGGGGCATTCAGTTGCAGAGGGACATGGAGTTAGTTATGGCTCATTGTTCAAGTATAGACCTACGCCCTTGCTAGGCAGGGGGTTAAAGCAGTGAGGGCCTCTACATGAGGTTCTGACAGACCTGCAATCTGGACTTGAGACATGCTTTTGAAGAGAGAATTTTAATTCTCTGAATTTATGTTGATTACTAATGACCCATGTAGCTTCAAAGTTTTAATGTGTGCATGGACAAATTTTAGACGATGGTTGTAAATAATGACAAATACTAAATTACCAGCCTGCTATTCCCTGGTAGATGTGCCTCACCGTGCATTCCATGGTATTAACCTTGAGTTAAACCCTTATTTCAGAGAACCAAAGCCACTTCAATAGCATGGCTAGATTTCCATTTCACTTCTGTTACTTTTATCTTATCAAGTCAAAATTGTACTATATGGACTTTTACTGGGTTCTCATACATGTATACTGAAGTTGCCATTTAAAAAATATATTCTGGACTCTGGGAAGGGGAATAAGTCATTTAAATTGACTATACCCTCAAATTCTCAATTAAAATAAACATATTGAGCTACCAGTATTTATTCTTTTATTTAAGAAATCACTAAAATAAAAGTAGGTGGAGGATGTGGCAGGAAGGATTGGCCTCTATTCATTAGAAGTTCAATCATATCTATTATCTGGAAAATCAAAGGAAGGAACAGAGTAGCAAACATGTAGTTACAGCAGGTAATGATTGGATCTATTACAAAATGGAAAAATTCTCATAGCAATAAGACTAGTAAGTAGAATTTTAATACATATGTGGCCATTTCAGATAGTTCAAACCCAGAAGTCAATTAGAATATTCAATACAGTTGAAAACAGGCCAAGAGTATGTGCTAAAATGATTGGTGTTTAATTGCAGCTGCCTGCATGTTGTTACTATAAACCTCTCATCAAAGACACATCTTGTGCTTTTCCCACTTGATATATGGAAAGAAATGTTCCAAACATTTGCCTGTATCATAAAACAATTCATTTCTATCAAAATACAACTTCTTATTAAAAACTGAGCTGCAGCCCTAGCTGGTTTGGCTGAGTGGATAGAGCGCTGGCCAGGGAAACTGAAGAGTCCTGGGTTCGATTCCAGTCAAGGGCATGTACCTCAGTTGCAGGCTTGATCCCTGGCCCTAGTCGGGGTGCGTGCAGGAGGCAACCAATTTATATGTCTCTCTCACATTGATGTTTTTCACTCTCTCTGTCTCTCCCTGTGTCTCTCTCACATTGATGTTTTTCACTCTCTCTGTCTCTCCCCGTCTCTTCCACTCTCTGAAAATCTGTGGAAAAATATCCTCAGGTGAAGATTAACAAAAACAAAACAAAAAAACCCCCCACTGAGCTGCAGTGAATGACACATATTTGCTCTTTCAGGTGATGCTCCCAATTATTTGACTTTTTAAAAGGAATAGCTCTAGGGTAGCTTCCAAGCACAATAGAACTGGTTTGCCTGGAGGCATAATTTTTTCCTCCAGGAAGTATGATTTGGGGATATATCCTCAAAAAACACGCTGAGTGTAGTGAACTTCATTGAATATAAGGTGACAAGACAGGAAATTAGTTGATCTCCACTTTTCTCCTTTTCTTTTGAGTGTGGGATTTTAAGCCTCTTTAAAACACTTTTGTCCCATAGAACAAATGGACCTAGTTTTCCTCAAGAGATAAAAGGGTAAAAGATAATGTCGATACCGATGCAGACACTTCTCAAAAACAAGGTGTATTTCAGTCCATATTTTAAATGCAGTCTTATTAAAATGCATGTGAGTCTCAGGCTGCAGTTAAAAAGGGCCTTTCTTGCCCATTATTGTGGGGTTTTTTTTAATAGTGGTAAAATGCACATAACATAAAGTGTACCACCTTAACCAATTTTAACTGTACAGTTCAGTCTTGTTAAATGCCTCCATATGATTGTGCAATCATCTCCAGAATTCTTATCATCTTGCAAAACTGAAACTGTACCCATTAAACAACAACTCCACATCCCTCTCTCCCCCTAGTCCCTGGAAAACCACAATTCTACTTTCTGTCACTATGAATTCTACTACTCTAGGTGACTTATATAAGTAGAATCATCTGTAATTATGTTCCTGTGACTGGTTGACTTCACGTGGCATAATCTCCTCAAGTCCCATTCATGTTGTAGCATGTTTCAGAATTTCTTTCCTTGTTAAGACTGGATAATATTTCATTGTATGTGTATACCACATTGTGTTTATCCATTCATCTGTCAGTGGACACTTCGGTTACTTCCAGCTCTTAGCTATTGTGAATAATGCCGCCATGAACAAATAGCTGTCCAAAATCCAACTTTCGGTACTTTGGGTAGAAGTAGATTATATGATAATTCTGTTTTTAATTTTTTGAGGCACCGCCATATTGTTTCCCATACTGACTACATTATTTTACCTTCCCACAAGCAGTGCACAAGTACTCTAATTTCTCCATAACTTCCACTCTTAGCTATTGTGAATAATGCCGCCATGAACAAATAGCTGTCCAAAATCCAACTTTCGGTACTTTGGGTAGAAGTAGATTATATGATAATTCTGTTTTTAATTTTTTGAGGCACCGCCATATTGTTTCCCATACTGACTACATTATTTTACCTTCCCACAAGCAGTGCACAAGTACTCTAATTTCTCCATATCCTTGTCAACACTTGTTATTTTCTGTTTCTGTTTTAGTTTTGTTTTGTTTTGGGGGATTAAAAAAAAATAATAGCCATCTTAATGGGTGTGAGGAAGAAAGACTTTTTTAAAGTTCCAAACCAAACCTGCTTTGCTATCTTCCCTTGCCCGTGATTTAACATACAAACTAAAATATAAAATTAGTTTAAGTATTGGTGGCTTAAATGGATGAAGCTAAACAACATCTTTGTAAACTGTGACTCTATAAGATATTAATGCATTTGGGAAACATAGGTCTGCTGGTTCAATAGTTTTACACAATTCTTTAGAGAACAATAAATTTACATGACAGAAAATAGTGCTTCGTGGAAAAACTGTTGCTAAATGCCAACTAACTAACCACGTGTAACATTTTTTTAAGTTGCTTGTTAATAACTGCAAAGTGTTTAGGATAATGTGACTGATCTATTTGCCACTCTTTTCCTTTCTGGAAAAGTGAAAAAGGTGACTCAGCTTCGACACTTGACCAAACTTCTTTGTGAGCCTGAAACTTTCAGTTCAGTGGAGAAAATGTGCCAGCTCTCCGGCATGAACTTCAGAAGCCTGTGTGAAGAGAGTGCATTCCATGTGCAGCTCCTTGAAGCAGCAGAGCTCGGCACCGAAATAGCCACCAGCTTATTATACCAAGACAACATCATATCTAAAAATCTGAAGGACCTGCTTACTGGGGATTCAGTCAAAATTAACTTAAATATGGATCAGTAAGTTTTTCCATTGTCTGTTCCTTGGTGAAATCCCTTCTCAAATTATTATTAGTATTAATCCTCACTTGAGAGCATTTTTTTTTCCCATTAATTTTTTAGAACGGAAGGGAGGAAAGAGGGGGAGAGAAACATTGATGTGAGTGGCACCTCCATTGGTTGCCTCCCACACATGCCCCCTGGGGCTGGGGATCAAACCTGCAACTGAGGTACATGCCCTTGATTGAGAATCGAAACCACACCCTTCCTTTCTAGGGCTGACACTCTAACCGCTGGGCAGAACTGGCCAGGGCCCCTCTCAATTTATTGAAATGCCTAGTCCAATTTTTTCTTCTCTTCTGTTCCAGGTTTCTAGAACAAGCGTTGCAAATGAATTACTTGGAAAACATTACACGATTAATACCGGCCATAGAAGCCACACTGCATGTCAATAACAGTGCAGACACTTCTGAAAAGCCAGGTGTGTCCTCATCCACATTTAAATGCTGTCTTATTAGAATGCATGTTTTCCTCATGCTGCAGTTTAAGAAAGCCTTTTTTGAAGTTCCCTACAAAACCTGCTTTGTAGCTGCTCTTTCATATCAGAAACCTGAAGCTTTCAAATATGGTTACTCAACTAAAGTAAAAACACAGAAAAAGCTAGCAGAGAATGAAACAGGGAAATCTGATTTCACAGTGAAAAGGTCTCCAAACATTTAACTAGTTAGGCCATTTATTTATCTTTTGTTTCTCTGATATATCAAAGTGCATTAGATAGTCCATTGAGAAAGCTAGGATGAAATTTATTTACTTCCGTAAGAATAATATGATTTAAAAAATAAAATAGATGCACTGCTCTCTACAGAAATCTCAATTCAGAACCTCCTGTTAGTATTCTGAGCACAATGCATCATGCAATACGCTTCTCCTTTGCATAATACCTCAATACTGAAAAGAAAGGCATTCAAAATTTTGGACAACAGGCAGCAAAATTGGAAGGGCACTAAGTCCAAAAATAAAGACAGTGAATTTGCATGAGGGATACTTCATAAAGAAGTCGAAAGGCATTCGCAGAAGGGAGTTCACCAGCTGCCAAAGTGAAGTCAAAATACTATCCATTAAATGTCCCAGATATGAAATAATTATAATAGCTCTCCTAAAAGAGGTTTGACGTAAAACACACTCTACTTAAAAGTGAGGTAATGATTGTGCAAACTCTTTATAAACTGCAGTGTGCTGGGCAAACTTCAGGGAAAATGCCCTGTGCCTTGTGGCCTTGTGTTGTGGATTTAACAAACCTTGTCCTAAGTTGTCAATATTATATGATTCGAGGTTCAAAAGTATTTTGCATTTGTGTGATGCTTTAAATGAAATAGAGGGATGTGCATTTAGTGTATGATGTGATCAGAAACAGTGAGGAAACCATATTTTCTTCGAATGAACCTTGACTTGTAGGCTCTAAGGAAACACAGAGCAATCTGTTACCTTAGGTTAATGATATCATAATAGGAATAAGTCTAAACCAGATAGAAATACATCCTCAAGATGGAAATTTTGCCCAAACTGGGAGAAATCTGTTTCTGACACAAGGCATATATGTGGAATATATGTTTTAGTCAAGAAGGTTTCTCTGTGTTGGTATGACTACCAAAATTACATTGCAATCAGCATGTGAGTTTTTTTCCTTTCCTTTTTTCCCTCTTGCAGGTCAATTAATCGAAATGTTTAAAAATGTTGAAGAGCTGAAAGAAGAACTAAGGAGAATGACAGGAATGTCCAATAGGAGTATCGACAATTTGCTGGCCATTCCTATTCCGGATAACAGAGCTGAGGTAGGGTGTGATGTATCTGTACCGACATCTAGTTTCTAAAAGTCTCAGTAGTATTTAATATTTGTCAGTAAAATACTGAGTAGTTGAATGTAAACCTGGTGAATTTTCCATGCAAGTGATAAAATTAGAGGCCTGTCCTAAGTGAAGATAGAAGAAAAATCCTGAGGCAAGAATATTATCACTTTCTGTTCCTTTCCCTCTGGTCTTCTTTTCCTTCCTCTTACCTCCTTGTTCCTCACCTTTGTCTTTGCCCCAGATGGTTTTCTCAAATAATGGTGCCATCCGTTCTTTAATATTCACTATCACACATTATCAAAGGTAACTTTGCATTATAATTTTCTATTATGATGATATCAAAGTAAAGTTTCAGTAACCTAGTTAGGGGTCAAAAACAGAGAGACTAATTTGTAAAAATTAAAATAAAAGTAAATACTCATTTGTACTTAAAAGTCCCAAGATAAGATACTGTATATAACATAGATATGGGCAAAGGAAGTTTGTGAGTGTGGTAAACATATTTTTTGGTGTGAAAATGAATAATGTCATTTACTCACAGGCTGGTAATAGGGTTTTCCACTTGAAATCTCTTATCTTTTATCCCCTTTTAAAGTCCACTGTCTGGAAGTGTCATAGAAATTTTCCAAAAGAGCTACAGAGCTTATAGCCTCATCCATTCAAAACAGAGTGTGTCATTTCTAAGCACAGCCCAGCCATCCTCCAATATTGGATAATGTCTTTTTAAAAAGCCTATAAACACTGCCTTTGGATAGTATTTATGTTTATTTGTGTCATGTTAATTGGTTACCCAATACAAACATTAAAACTGCTTTGCCTGCACCCTTTCCTCTTGTTTGAGCAAATAATTTTCATTCGCCTTTTTCCTTTGATCTCACCTCTTGCTCATTTGATCCTAAGACCCGATTTCAGCAATCGCGTTTTGGGCTTCTGAAGAGCAGCTTCATTTTCATACATTAAAGCATGTAAATGGTGAGCATGCGTGTTATTGCTTTCAAAAGGAAGAGGAGACAAGTTTCCCTAATCTGGAATTTTATAAACTTTTCTCTTTATTTCATTTTGGTGGCAATAGAGATGACTCCTCATTTCTCATATTTACACCTCACTTTTCACACCAGCATTGCTGTTCATGATGATTCACCTTATTGTGAAATTCTGGGCTTCTTTCTTTGCTTTCATCTCTGAACCCAAGAGTTCATTGTACAAGATTATAACTTTCAATGATTATAAAAATAAAATGCAATTTGAATAAAGTAAGGTTAAAATTTAAAGGCAGCATGGGTCTTAAACTAGTATTTTCCCCAAACTTACTCCAAATCAATTCTTTTTCTTGGTGCCATCATTCCCCCAGGTGTTCAAGCAATAAATCATCATAGACCCATCTCGGTCTCTTTTCACATCTTATTCCTTAAGCTTTCCAGTTAACTGTGAGCTTGCTGTAGTTTTATTAGTAGTAATTAGTGTTTTAAATAAGTATTTGCTTTTGCGGATAATGTTATATTTAAAAAAATATGATCCCTACTCTGAAACCCTTTTTTAAATTTTTTTTTTTTACTTTTATTGATTTCAGTGAGGAAGGGGGAGGGAGAGAAGGACAGAAACATCAGTGAAGAGAGAGAATCATTGATGGGCTGCCTCCTGCATGCCTGGTACTGGGGACCGAGCCTGCAACCGGAAATCGAACCGTGATCATCTGATTCATAGGTCGATGCTCAACCACTGCGCAACTCTGGCTGGGCTGTCATATTTTTTAATGAAGACTAAGAGTATAAGAAAAACCTCTCAAAATGGACAGATGGCTCTCAAAGGATTCACAGCTAAAATCTTTTTGTTCCTCCAACTTGCAGATTATTTCTCGTGTGTTCTGGTTGCATTCTTGTGGTGCTAATAGGACCAATCCCAAACTGGAAGATGCGATGAAGGAATTCTGCAGCCTGCCTCTTCCTGAGCGATCCCGCCAGTCTTACCTCATTGGAATCACTCTGCTGCACTACTTAGACATCTACAACTTCACATACAAGGCAAGTTGCTGTTGATGAAATATGTTTATATTCATACTTTAGTATAAAAATATTTGATTACACATGTATGCTCTTTGATACTGTAAGGAATGAAATTCATTCATATAGCTTGTGAAATTATAGCTTTATGTTGGAGTGAAATGGGACCTTAGAGATCACATATTGCAAATTTTCACATTTATAGATGAGGAAATGAATATTATTACCTCATTAACTCTCAGTTTGTGTATCCAAGACCAGGAATTAAATTTAATATATACTCTATGAATATGTGAAGTACAAATGCTATAATTTTTTTACAGTGAATAAGCATTAACTTGGCAAGATAAAAATAAAAACTAGAACAGTTATTTTATTCAAGTAAAAGAATAAAGGATTTTGGTATGTTTTTTTAAAAAATTAGTGTTTCCCCCATCAGTTTAGAAAGATGCTACCATTAGTCATTCAGTAGAACAAAACAAATGGCCATTATTAGGGCTTAGTAAAGGCAGCAATGACTCCACCTTGCAATAAGTGGATGCTTTATAAGTACTTATTTAATAAAAAAAACTGAAAGAAAATATAAACTTAAGAAACTTAAGTCCTCTGTTCACTCAAATCTAGGGTAAATAAAAAATATTTATATGTTATTGAAAACACTGGAGGGGGGGGAAGTTCCCACTCTTTTGGTAAGAAAAACCCAAAGCAACAGAGCTGACTTATACTGTTGAAACATAGCAAAGTCTACTTATAAACAATCCTTTTCTGAATGATCACTATCCCACACCTATATTCTGCAATGACCTCTTTTCTGGCCTTTCTGCCGCCACACTTACCACACCCCGACCCCCCACCCCCTACCATCCCTAAGCAGCCAGAGTGATCCTTTTAAAACTGAGTTAAATTATGTCACACCTATGTTCAACCTTCCAGCAGCTCCCCATTTTATTCAAGGAACCCCCCAAGCCCTACAAGGGCCGCATAATCTGTACAACCCCTCTCCATCTCTAAAGTTCTGTTTTCTACTTGGCTAGTCCCTGACACCGGGCTGCTGTGTGGCACGGCTGAGCCAGGCCCCCTCACATGATTTGCAGGGCTGTTTGTCTTACTCAACACTGACCTCAGTAAGGCCTACACTGACCTCCCTATTTAAGATGCAACCAGCCTCACCTACAGCACTCTCAGATCTCCTTTTCTTGCTCTATTTGTTTTCTATTGTCCTTCCAGAATAATACTATATCTTTTATTTAATATTTATTTTTATTATTTATTTTTTGTCTACCCCCACTAGGATATAAGCTCTGTAGGTCTTCTTTGTTGACTAAAACATCTCAAATACCAAGAACAGTGCCTGGCCCATAGAAAACATTCTGGAATTACCCGCTAACTAAACAAATGGTTATTTTTATATAAACTACAACCTCACATGCATATAAAGTGATATAATTAATTTTTGTTCATCTAAAATTTTAATCCTTATTTTATAATGTCTCGGCAGAGAAGATATCAAACCAAATGTTTCTTGTTGAGTCCAGCAGTTAAACATGTGCATTTGACAAGCTGAAGACCATACCTAATTCTTTTGCAAACAAAATAAGAACAAAAGTAATAAAAAATGTCTCATCGTTAGTCAAGTTATTTTATTTTATTTTTTGAATTATTTTTTTTTCTTTATTGGTTAAGGTATTACATATATGCCCTTAGCCCCTCATTAGCCCCCCCCCTCCATTCATGCCCTCACTCCCCTATTGTCTGTGTCCATTGATTAGGCTTATATGCATGCATACAAATCTTTGGTTGATCTCTCCCCCATACCCCCACCCTCCCCTACGTTCCCTCTGAGCCTTGATGGTCTGATCGATGCTTCTCTGTCTCTGGATCTGTTTTTGTTCATCAGTTTATGTTGTTCATTATACTCCATAAATGAGTGAGATCATGTGATATTTATCTTTCTCTGACTGGCTTATTTCGCTTAGCGTAATGCTCTACAGTTCCATCCATGCTGTTGCCAATGGTAAGAACTCCTTTTTTACCACAGCATAGTATTCCATTGTGTAGATGTACCACTGTTTTTTAATCCACTCATCTGCTGATGGGCACTTAGGCTGTTTCCAAATCTTAGCTATGGTGAATTGTGCTGCTATGAACATAGGGGTGCATCTATCCTTTCTGATTGGTGTTTCCAGTTTCTTTGGATATATTTCTAGAAGTGGGATCACTGGGTCAAATGGGAGTTCCATTTTTAGTTTTTTGAGGAAACTCCATACTGTTCTTCATAGTGGCTGCACCAGTCTGCATTCCCACCAGTAGTGCAGGAGGGTTCCTTTTTCTTCGCATCCTCTCCAGCACTTGTCACTTGTTGATGATAGCCATTTTGACAGATGTGAGATGGTACCGCATTGTCATTTTGATTTGCATCTCTGGGATGATTAGTGACTTTGAGCATGTTTTCATATGTCTCTTGGCCTAGTCAAGTTATTTTAAACTAGGAATGACTAGACTTTTGATTCTACTTTAGAAAAATCTGATGGCAGTTAGTAGCTCTACTATGGAGGCAGCTATGTCTTCATATCTTTCCAACTAAATCTTGTCCTCATAATGGAGGTTTATTTCTCCCGTGGACCTGCCAAGAGTTTTCCTTCCCAATGGACCTCACATGCCATCCCCCCCGCCCTTCCCCCTCAGTTCTTCTTATTTTTTTTTTATCATTTGTTCTTTCTCTTCTTTGGGATTCTACCTTGGAAAGAGCCCCTTTTGTTTCTTAGTTAAATCCTAGCTCCTCATAGTCCCCAGCCTTTTGTGTATTGACTTATTTGGTATCTGTTCCTCCTGAGACCAAAGCTCTCTTATTGGAAAGAGGATGCCAATTTCCGCATCACTGTATATCCATCGCCTTGCCCAGTGCTGGGAATGTATAGGCATTTAGTTAATGTTTGTTTAATAAATAAATGAGTGAGAGGATAAAATGACTTTAAATTTTTGGAATATTTTCAGTGTTGTTATTTTTCTGCAGCAGAAATGCGTTGTGTGATTCTGATTAATCCTGATAAAGCACGTGAGCTTCTGGACAGTTTTCCTGCTTTTGAGGAGCACATTATATGATTTTGAATAATAGTATACATGAAGGGTTATGTCATTGATATTTACCTTCCTGACTTTTTAAATAATTTATCTTGGGAAACTTTATTGAAGAATTATTTAGATAGCATAAAGTTCACTCGAGCATACAATTTAATTTTTTTTAGTAAATATGAAAAATTGTGCAATTATTACCACAACCTAATTATAGAACATATACATAAATTCCAAAAGAAACCTGTGTCCATTTGCAGTCACTTCTCATTTTGACCTTTAGCCCAAGATTTGCCCCTTTTTTTTTAGATCTTTTAATATAAATTGAATCATCCAGTACATGGTCTTTGTGTCTGGCTCTTTTCACTTAGTGTAATATTTTTTAGTACCAAACATGTTGTAGCATATGTCAGTATTTCACTTTAAATTGTCAAATAGTATTCCAGTCTAAGGATGTATATTTTACCCATTCATTTGGATTGTTTCCCCTTTTTGGCTATTGTGAGTAATGCTGCTATGAACATTCAAAGCTTTGTGTGGGCATATGTTTTCATTTCTCTCAGGTAAGTACCTAGGAATGGAAGTGCTGGGTTGTGTGGTATATTTATGTTTAACCATTTAATAAACTTCAAACTGTTTCCCGAAGTTCCTGTCCCTTTTAATATTCTCACCAACAGTGTGTGAAGGTTCCGGTTTCTCCACATAAATAATTTTTTTTTATTCTGTTTCTGTTAGGTGATTTTCCCCAGGGAAGATCAAAAGCCAGTAGAAAAGTTGATAGAACTCTTCGTGAAGCTAAAAGGCATTCTCAACCAGCTGGCTTCTGGCACCCGTCCGCTGCTCAGCAAAATGAGGTCCCTGAAGCAAATGCATCTGCCCAGAAGTGTCCCCTTAACACAGGTAGAAAAGCCACCCAGGAATGTTCTCATCAGAAAATTCCTTTGCCACATGAATGTTTATTTAAAATTGGTTAAAATACATTGTTAGAAATAAAGTGCACTGCAAGAAATCCCCTACGGGAAAACTCTTCTACTCCAACCAAAATTTTTGTCACTTAAATTGGTGAAGTTTAATATTCTGCACTTACATTTGGGATGCACGTTTTAAAGCAATTATGGGAACTATAAGAATACTCTAAGTTTGGCCAGGTTTTCTTTTTTTATTGTTTTCAGTAACATTTATAGCTTATATCATATTCATAAATCATGGCTTTTGATCTCACAGGCAATGTACAGAAGCAACCGGATGAGTGCAACTCCAGGGTCATTTAGTACCATCTCCCAAGCGTTGTGTTCCCAAGGAATTACCACTGAATACTTAATCGCCTTGCTGCCCTCCTCCCAGAGGCAAAAAGGCAACCACACCAAAGATTTTTTGACTTATAAATTAAGTAAAGAGGAAATTGCTGAAAAATATGGAATTCCCATACATGCCAGTGAGTATTCTTCAAAGTCAGCATGGCAATGTCTCCTAACAACATTGTTTGCTATATCTTAGCCTTTTGTAATAAATGGTTAATTTCCTCCAAGTATAAAAATAGAAAACATTTGTACAGCACTTACCACATGTCAAGCATGTTATGTATAGTAACTCATTCATTCTTCACAACCATCCTATGAGATATGCATGATTGTATCTCCATCTTAATAAGAGGATGGGAGGCACAAAAAGATGAAGGAATCTGGTCACAGTCACCCATCTTAGAAATACCAGAGTTGTGATTTGAGCCCAGGCAGTCTGCTGCAAAGTCTAGTCACTAAACCACAACACTAAGAATTTGTCAGTCATACTTATATCTCCCTTGACAATAGATAACATTAAAACACACACCTTAAATTTTCTCAGTCCATATTTTTTTTTCACGTTCTAGAACTAGAAACTTGCATCAGCGTAAAGGAAGAGTTCCATGAATGCAGCAGAAGTATGAACATTTAGTGGCACAACAAAGTCATTTACTTGATCTATAAACTTTGAGATGCAAAACATGACCAGCTGAGTGCTTCCAAATAATATATAGATGTTTAGTATAGCAATTGTATTGACTCATTTACTCACCTTTTTATTCATTCAACAAAAACATTTATTAAACAGCTCTTATGTATCTGGTACATTCTGAGACATACATATACACACACACACTAGAGGCCTGATGCACAAAATTCCTGCAAGGGCCTTTGCCCCCACCGCCATGGCGACTGTGGGCCTCTGCTGTCTCTGCCCTCTCTGCCTTGGCCCCCGCCTGCCACTGAAGCTTTGTCCGGAAGGAAGGAATCTGGAAGGACATCCGGTCTAATTAGCATATTATTCTTTTATTATTGTAGATATATTTAAATTAAGTGCTGGTGAGGTGGATCTGTTGGAAGCAGTTTTGAAATGTGAATTTCAACCTTGCTAATTCCTCTTGGCAAAATGCCATCACTTCTTGTGGGCTTGTTTATTGGGGTAGACTTTTACACCCAAAAAAGATTTGTTACTATGCTTTCTAGCTTTGATATCAGATGCCTCACATCTGTTAATAGTGCTTAGGCATGTATTTTTCGATGTGATAGAAGTCTTAATTTACCATCAGGAAATAGATTTGAAATACAAGTACTAAAATGTTTTATTCTTCTTTCCAGCACCCTTTTGCTTTTCCCTTTATAAAGACATCATTAACATGCCTGCTGGACCTGTGATTTGGGCTTTCTTGAAACCTATGTTGCTGGGAAAGATTTTGTATGCACCATATACTCCAGTCACAAAGGCAATAATGGAAAAGGTTTGATCATTATAAATCAAAGTTTCTATCATGCATATTAAAATGATTTTTAAAGTAGCCAACTTCCAAATTTACTCTAGCTGACTCAGATCTCTTTATTTCTTACCTGCTATTACTACCTTTGGCTTTCTGAAGCTATTAACAGTTCTCTACTTCTGCTCTGTATATGTGCAAACAATGTAGATTGTGTAGTAGTTCTTTGTAGAGAATGTACCATGTTGATGCTTGAGAATGAGGCTAGTTAAAGCAAGGCCTCAGATTTTTCAATTTATCTCCCAAAGTAGAATTATTTTCTACAACCCTGTCTACCTTTCAAAGTATGCAAAAAGAATGGCACTAGAAAAAATAATATTGAGCCATTATATAACCAATTTAAACAAAAAGAATCCCTAAATTATAGACTCTTGGCTTCATATTTGGTTGTACAATTTAATATCTTATATAAAAGGTAGATGTTGAGAAAGACAACATTATTAGTAGTAGCTATACTTACCTAATTTAACCATAATAGCATTTCCCTCTCATTTTTAAAATTGGCCTTAATGATTTGAATTACAAACTTAATACTTTTTTATTTTAATCTTCACCTGAGGACATTTTCCCCATTGCTTTATAGAAAGAGTGGAAGGGAGGGAGAAAGGGGGAAGAGAGAGAAACACTGACATGAGAGACACATCGATTGGTTGCCTCCTGCTTGTGCCCCCTGACTGGGGCCAGGCCGAGGTACAAACCTGCAATAGAGGTACATGCCCTTGACTGGGAATCAAATCTGTGACCCTTTTGTCCGCTGGTCGATGCTCTAACTACTGATAAAACTGGCCAGGCAAAACTTAATACTTTTAAAATGATAGAATAAAAGTTAAAAAAAAATCTCTGTTTTACCATTACTTGGTTATTAAACTACTAAAGGCCCAGTGCATGGATTCATGCACACTGAAAGGAAATTAATTAGAAGGTGGTCAGTGGGGCGGGACTGGACAACACAGGCTGGACATGCCCTGGAGCCAACCTCCCCGTGGCTCCTCCCAGGTCAGCACCAGGGCTCAAAGAGTATCTGCGGAGCGAGCAGAGTCCCTCTAGCAGGTGGGGTCCCTCAGCCTGGCCTGTGGGGATTGGGCCGAAACCGGCAGTCCGACATCCCCCAAGGGGTCCTAGAGTGTGAGAGAATACTCTACGAAGTTGCTGTGGCTCAGAAACTCATGCATTAAGCGTCTGCCCCCTGGTGGTCAGATTGCTGTGGCTCAGAAACTTATGCATTAAGCGTCTGCCCCGTGGTGGTCAGTGAGCATCACACCTACCGGCTGGTCGGCTGGTTGCTTAGCCTTGTATATATATATGTATAGTTTATGTGAATATAACATTATTTTAGGTCTATAGAAATGGACATGAGGACATCACTGATTTCTAGAGTGTTCTTTGTTTTTTTATTTCATTACATTTTAATACCTTACTCACTGTATTGACTACACATTTGTACATAATTTTGCAACAATGAAGTTATTACAAGCATATTTTCAAGTGCAGTCTCTTTTGTTCTTTCCTTTTTGCTTAGTTCTCACTTTTTCTTTTTGTCCCTCCTTGTTCCACTCTTTCTTCCATGTAAACTAATGAATGTTAGCATTCAAGGATGTGCCTTTCTATAATTTATGCACATATCTCTCATCTATAAATTATTAAACTACATATATTCATATGCAGAGTTCTTTGGTCATTGATTGCATTATTAAAATTAGGTAGCATTATCATACTTTGCTCATACAACAATACCTTGTGGAAATTCTTCCAACTCAATAGGTATAGACTAATTCATTCTTTTTGAAAATTGAAAAATTTTCATACCATAGAGTTTATTCAGCCAATCCTCAATTGTTGAGAATTCATTTTATTTATTTATTTATTTATTTATTTATTTATTTATTTATTCACTTATGTATTTAGGCATTCATTTATTTAGGCATTCATTTTATTTCAAGAATTTACTTTTGGTTTTTACTAATGTAAACAATATGGCAACAAATACTTTTGTGCATATGATTTTACACAATGGTATTTTTATTTCAGTGAGATGAATGTTCAAGATTGAAAGATTAAAGGATATTATATTTTATTTTAATAACTAATGTCAGATTGCTTTCCAGAAAAGCCTGTAACATGTATTTCCACCAGCAATATATGACTCTATCCTCTTCCTTGATCCTTGAACTTTACTGTTTCTTTAACAGTAAACTTAAGTGTATCATTTGTAAAGTTAATAACTTGGGAGAATTTGCAGAAAACATACTTTCATTTGGCTAAAATTCCATTCTGGAAATGAAGCAACCCCCAAATTTGCCAGGATTTTTATTAGTAATCTTGACCCCATAAAAGCTGCCTTTCAAAAAGTATTTGAACAACCCAGCTGGTGTGGCTCAGTGGTTGAGTGTCGATTTATGAACTAGGATGCCATGGTTCAATTCCTGGTGAGGGCACATGGCACATGCCTGGGTTGTGGACTCTATCCCCAGTGGGGGCCATGCAGGAGGCAGCCAATTAATGATTTCTCTCATCATTGATGTTTTTATCTCTCCCTTTCCCTTTCTCTCCAAAATCAATAAAAAAATATATGAAAGAAAATAAAAAGCTTTGACCATGTGGGAAATTCTGATAATATTTACCTTTTAAAAGTGTTCCTTGAAGTTATGTAACAAAACCTTAAGAGACCTTTATGAAATCCAGGACAAATACTAATAAACCAGATCTGTGTTTTATTTTTTGTCTTTCAGTCTAATGTAACTCTGAGGCAGCTGGCAGAATTAAGAGAAAAATCTCAGGAGTGGATGAATCAGTCACCACTTTTCATGAATTCCTTCCATCTGTTAAACCAGACGATTCCAATGCTCCAGGTAGGAGATGGTCCTGCCACTCACATTCATATGGCGTATAATTCTTTGAGATTTTAATCACCTTCATTATGGGAATGGTAAGATAGGGACTTAGTATCCATATTCAACAGATTAAAATTGCTTTTCCTTCAGAGAGTGGGTCTGAGACAGGATAAAAGATCTGTCACTCATGTTCATAATCTTCCTCACCTCTTAAATCGCACCTTGACTGTAATTTAGAGACAAGCCATCTTACACTGATCTGGAGGGTATAGCTAGTGGCATAAAT